CGGTGGCTCACAGCGCCCACCGAGGCCCAGTGTACCTGTATCCCCGTGTTATGACGTGTAAAATCCGATACTCGCTTTAATTGCAAAAGCCCCTGGTCTGTGTTTGGTTGGATCCTGTCACTGTGCCGCGGAGAAGGAAGCTGCATTTTTCAAAGAGAAGAGAAGCAGCTGTGGCTTTCCGGCTGCTTTTCCAAGAGGCTCAGCTCAGAACGGCAGGGCCTGTTCAAGGCAAGGTGCTTGGGATTCTTTCCAGAGGGTGGAGTGAGGGATGGAAGGGCAGGGACAGCTGCCTGGAACAGCAGCCGGGTGTCCTGGGACAAAGCAGAGTGAGGACCAGACCCGCACTTGACCGTTTGCCTCAGGATGGAAACTGGCCTGGGATTGGTCAGGTACAGAGGAACTCTTGTGTTGGCATCTTTCAGAAGACTGGACAATGAGTCCAAACGTCTTTCGGAGCCCCAGCAGTTTTAAGTAGCAGCACCCAAAGAAGAGTTGGTTCTTTTCCGAGGAGTTTCTTGCTTACTAGACATGGTATCTGAAGAGCGTTGGCCTCACGTGCTGGGTGCCCCACGTGCTGAGTACCCCCCCACCACCACACACAAGTTTTGCAGATGAAATAAAGACGTTGGCACAAAGCTCAGGACTCGTAAGGATGTCACCGGGGGAATCTGAACTGTTCTGGTGTAATGAGAATTTGTGAAACCTGACACATCACTTCTTAGAAGTCAGATTTCTCCTTTGCAAGACTTCTACACAACAGTATAAGTATATATGTTGCCCAGCACGTATCATATATGTTCCTTTTTTGTCCTTTTTTTAAATTTTTTTTTCAACGTTTATTTATTTTTGGGACAGAGAGAGTGCATGAACAGGGGAGGGGCAGAGAGAGAGGGAGACACAGAATCGGAAACAGGCTCCAGGCTCTGAGCCATCAGCCCAGAGCCTGACGCGGGGCTCAAACTCACGGACCGCGAGATCGTGACCTGGCTGAAGTCGGATGCTTAACCGACTGCGCCACCCAGGCGCCCCATTAATGCGTATTTGTTTTTGAGGGAGAGAGAGAGAGACAGAGAGCACGAGCAGGGGAGGGGCAGACAGAGGATCTGAAGCAGGCTCCGAGCTGACAGCAGAGAACCAGACGTGGCGCTCAAACTCATGAACCGTGAGATCGTGACCTGAGCTGAGGTCAGATGCTCAACCGACTGAGCCACCCAGATGCCCCCCGGGCCTATTGTTTTCTAACTGCCACGTAGTATTCTATCCCAGGGTTTTCCCGTGATGTATTATCGACTGTTGCTGTAAAAACTGCCATTTGTTTCCGTTTTTCCCCTGTTCCACTGCCTGTCATCAACATCCCTGTAAATGCCCCTTTGTGAACTTGAGTCTTTCTCTGCAGGACGTACTGAAGAGTAGACAGGACATGTTAAAGGATACCAATGTTTAACCTTTTTATTCTATTTATGTATTTATTTATTTGAGGGAGAGAGAGAGTGTGCACGCATGTGAGGGTGAGCAGAGGGGAGGGGCAGAGGGTGGGAGAGAATCTTAAGCAGGATTCGTGCTCAGCACGGAGCCCAATGTGGGGCTCGATCCCACGACCCTGAGACCATGACCGACCCAAAATCAAGAGCCAGATGCTCAACTGACTGAGCCACCCAGGCGCCCCAAATGTTTTACTTTTTAAACAGATCTTCCAAATTGTCCTCCAAACTTTGGAGGATAAACCCAGCTTTAACCCCCTACCCCTACCAGCATCCCAGCGTCGATACTCCAGTTCTACTGTGGCCTTTTTTTTCTTTTTTTAAGTTCAAGCGTTCAGGCCAAAGGAGCATGTAAAAGGAAAATGTAAATGACTCAGGTGGGGATGACTGGTTTTAAGTCCTTAGAGCCCTGAAAGAGACCGGTGCAGTTTGGGGGGTGGTTTTGCTGGAAGCTGGGAAGACTGCATCCGTGGGACTTCTTAGGGAGCCAGGGAGGAGCCTGCAGACTTTGAGAGCACAGAGGCGGGAGTGGGGTCATCAAAAAGGAGGCAACAGAGCCTTTCAGGTAAATGTGCCAGTGCGGAGAAACTGAGGCGGCTGGAAGGCTGGTAGCAAAGAACTTGCCTCCTTCTGAGTTGCGGGACGGGGTGGTCACGTGGCCCGAATGCCTCCTCCTCTGTCTCCCCGGTCGCAACCTACCCCTTTCTCCAACAGCCGGACTTTGTGTGGGGGGCTGTGCACTTGTGCTCTACGACTCCCCTTGGGCGGCTTGTCAGCCTTCGGGACAGCTGACCCGCAGGATAGAGATCTCGGCCTAAACCAGCCCTCGGCCACATTCTTGCCTGATAACGATCATTCCTCAGACCAGCAAGCACGTTCCTACTGATCGTCCATTCAACATGTAGCTTCCGAAGGTTTTACCCATCCCAAAGCACTTTACAGTCCTAGAATCCTGGACAGGCGTGTGTCTTATTCTCAAGACCCTTATCTGTTGCTGAACGGAGGGAAAAGGTGAATTATTCTACCATCCAGTTCATGGGTTTAATTCATTTAACCACACATTTAAACTTTGCAAAGAGAAGCCTATTTAAGACCGAACGGTATACGTTAAAAGTTGGAGTTGAGATTATTCTAACTGAAGTTTTAAAATTTCAACCAACTTGGCATCATTTTTTTTTCTTGTCTTTGCTGAGCCTAAGAATCAGTTGAGGACCTTTGCAAAACCCCAGTACCCACGTGGCCTTCCGCATTAATTAAATTGAACGCCTGGCCACAGGATCCAGATGCCCCTAGTGGAAACTACCGATCGAATGGATAAGAGAAAACAAATCTTTGTGGCTTAAAAAAAGGATCATGCCATTAAAATATTTCAAATGCTTTAATTCTTTCCCCGTGATCGAAGAATCCCGTAATTGCAACAACAGATCTACTGAGCAATAATTTATAAAGTGAGATACAGTACTAATAAAATTCCCCAAATTTAGACCTTAAGGTGATTATAAAACTGTCGAGTACAGAAATAACGCAAACTAAAGTGTCTTCTTCCTTTTTTTTTTTTTTTTAAGTATTCATTTATTTTTTGAGAGAGCGAGCAGGGGAGGGGCGGAGAGATGGGGGCAGAGCCGCCGAAGCGGGCTCTGCACCGACAGCAGTGAGCCTGACCGGGGTTCCATCTCGAGAACCTTGAGATCCGGACCTGAGCCGGAGTCGGACACTTAACCGACCGAGCCACCCAGGCGCCGTGACGATAGTGTCTTCTTGATACTCAGGACAGGTTGGATGTAGACACATAGATGACACAGGCGTGCCGTATGAGCCTGAGACGCGGACGATCCCTTAGTAAGCAGCAGAGAGCCCCTAGAAGGACCTCGTTGAGTCTTGCATTTCTCCCTGCCATCGGTGCATGAGGTATCACCTTCACTGCACACACACGCGCACACACACGCATCATCACTCCTTTTATTTTTTTAATGTTTATTTTTGAGAGAGAGAGAAAGAGAGACAGAGCATCGGAAGGGGAGGGGCAGAGAGAGAGGGAAACACAGAGTCCGAAGCGGGCTCCAGGCTCCGAGCTGCCGGCACCGAGCCCGACGCGGGGCTCGAACCCATGAACCGTGAGATCATGACCTGAGCCGAAGTCGGATGCTCAAGCAACTACGCCGCCCAGGCGCCCCTCCGTCGTCACTTTTAAAATGCTAAAGAACACCAGCAAAACTTAACCTCCCACCCCCACCCCTCCCCCCCCCATCCCCCCATAGCCGGCATGGAACTGGTGGGGCTGTGGTCCCATCCAGCAAGCCTGGTGCCTATTGCCAGGCCTGTTGCCCGGTGAGTCAGCACCCGGGCTCTGCAAGAATCCCTGTACACCCCAGAGCTGCTTTCTTCTAGAGAGGGAGGGAGGGGGTAGGGACCGAATGAGGGGATTTAGAAACCAGCCAAGGCATGGGGGAGGGGCCAGTCCAAGTACGCCCTGGCGAAGTGACTCTTCCATCCCATCTGGAAAGTTCCGCTGCTGTGCCTTTTAGCTTTTCTTGCTTGCTTGCTGGGTCTTTAAAGGACAGTTACTGGTGCTGTTCAAACAGGCCAGGCCGGTGTCTGCTCACTCTGGATCCCTCAGTCCTCCCAGAGGCTGCCTCCCCATTCTTCTGGAGCCTGTTCCTCTCCGGAGTGAGGCTCCCTGCTAAGACAATGGTATCTGCTTCCACTCTGCCTGACCTAGGCGGGTAGAATTACCTAACAGCTCAGGCCAGTCCTTTGGGGGAACTAACCTCAGGCTTGTGTCCGCCAGAGTTGTGTTTTGACAATGCCTCTTAGCCATTGGCGTGGTGAGTCTCGACGAAAGCCGAGCAAGAGACCGAAATAGGGGGCGTGCTTTCTGCTGTATTTCCCCCTCCCTTTCCTCCCGCTCCTCCTGCATTCTCATTTAATAACCTACATTATCCCCACTTTTGTGAATGCTCTCTTTCCCGGTCTTGTTTCGCAAGGCCGCAACAGTGGCGAGATCGTATCTTTCAAAATATACTTAAGGGTAGAAAGGAGAACAAGCTTAAGTAAATTCATCTCTAAAGAAACCTCGTGTTTTCAGCCATCTGACTTCTAAATGTAGAATCCTACCCTGAGACCTGACTTGTGTTTTGAATGGGATGCGGGGCCTGGCAGAAACGTTGACTTGGCCTGTCTGTGTGTTTCTGCTGTTGAATGGAGGTAAACGTTCCGAAGTTTTCGTGTATCTGAGCCTGTCTAAAAAAAAAAAAAAAATCCCAGAAAAGAAACCTAAAATGACTGATAATTGTGTGCAATTTTCATTTATTTCTGTCTCAGTAGGTGGGTATCTTTTTCTTCTTCACCCGCGAGCTGAATCCTTCGGCTGGAAAGGAACGAGCCCTAGGAAACAAGACTTACAAACATCTAATGGTCTCATGACTCACCTCACCTCACCTTTGTCATTGTTGACAAGCTTAGTGTTCTTTCTGCCTGGACCTGCCTGTAATTTGCCATAATCTTTCCACTGTCTTACAGGACTACCAGCCAGACTCCCAGAAATCATGTTGGTAGGGTCCCAGTCCTTCTCACCTGGGGGACCCAATGGGATCATCAGAAGCCAGTCCTTTGCGGGGTTCAGCGGCCTTCAGGAGAGGCGATCCAGGCAAGTGGTGTGTGGGTCTCTTCCGGGACGCGGCGCGAGAAGGACGTGAGCTCATGCCCTGGAGAGGCTCTGTGAGCACGCAGCCTTGTCAAAACACACACACACGTGCTCTTTGAATCTCTTTCATGAAACAGACGTAATGCACCAAAAATTAAGGACCGTGGTTTCTTTTCTGTCATTTCAAATTCCTGCTGCAAAGCAGATGGCTGAGGATCTTGGACAAGCCAGCGGTATCTGTGCATAGCTTTCCCCACCCTCCCACCCCACGCCCCATGCAGCACATTCCCCACGGCATCCAGATTTGGGAGACTGCGTTGGGTATAAAGTTACGCAGCCGGTAAAGACAGCATCTGCACATCAGCTCTGGGAAGCAGATGCCATTCGGATACGGGCTCGGGAAGTTAGTCTTCCGCTTTCTCTGGAATCTCCCTTCATCTACGCCAGGACTTGGGGGAACACACGGGTAACGAAATAGGTAACATGGAGTAGGTCTGTCGTCGGTTTTTCTGACACAGCAGAGGTCTTACAGGCTCTCGGGCCCTTGTGCTCTGACCTGTCACATCCCCTTTGGTGCGCACGGTTGCGGCAGAGGAAAAGGACAAGTAACCTGGGAGGGGCACAGGGCAGGCACCTGCCACACTCGGAGGTCACCGCTTTCCCGTTGACGGTGGGGTCAGTGAGGTTCTGGCCTCTTGGTCTCCTAATCGGATCAGTAGTTTGGGTCTAAGCTATCAGGTGTCCACCTTCCCACCGCACTCCCTGCCACTAATGTGACGCTAAGTTTTATGTTCTACCTAAAGATCACTTGCTCCATCAAAATCAAGCTGAAAACAAGCTGTTGGCCCAGCTACATGGACTTTTCTTTTTTTTTTTTTAATTTTTTTAATGTTTATTTATTTTTGAGAGAGAGAGAGACAGAGTGCAAGCCGGGAAAGGGCAGAGAGAGAGAGAGGGAGACACAGAATCCGAAGCAGGCTCCAGGCTCCAGGCTCCGAGCTGTCAGCACAGAGCCCGCTGCAGGGCTCAAACCCACGAACTGTGAGATCATGACCTGAGCCGAAGTCAGATGCCCAACTGACTGAGCCACCCACACGCCCCTGGAATTTTCTTTAATGCTGTCTGGAGTTAGCCATATGTCGTGCTTTTACCTTTATCTAAAAACTGTTCAGGCGCACCCGGGGGGCTCAGGCTGTTGAGCATCCGACTCTTGATCTTGGCTCAGGTCATGATCTCATGGTTCATGGGATCGAGCCTCGATTTGGGCTCTGCACTGACAGCATGGAACCTGCTTGGGATTCTCTGTCGCCCTCTCTCTCTGCCCCTCTTGCACACTTTCTCTCCCTCTCTCTCTCTCTCTCTCTCTCTCTCTCTCTCTCCCCCCCCCAACAAACATTTAAAAACCAAAACTGTTCATTCACATCCTAGACGAATTTAGTAGACGCTCGTGCCCAAGGTTACGTAGCGCACGTGTTTTTCCATTGGATTATATCCTTCTGCTTCCTCACTTCCTCTGAAGTGTTTGTCCTTGGCTTTCCATAAGGTGTCAGTGGTGTGGCATGTTTCCACGCAGAGCACGGTACCTGACGGGCTAGCCAGGTAGCCTGTCCAGTTCAGGGCAATAAATCTGATAGTACATCTGCTGATAAACTAAACACAGGATGGCTCAGGTTGTGCATATATAAGGGACCGATACCTTCCCCGAAAGACACGAATACAAACACAAGACGATGAAAAAGGCATGTCTTTGCTCAAGTCCTTTTGGACACCGAGACTCACAATTTCTTTTTTCTCTGCGTAGATGTAACTCCTTTATCGAAAATCCCTCCGCTCTCAAGAAGCCTCAGGCCAAACTGAAGAAAATGCACAATTTAGGACACAAAAACAATAACCCTCCCAAAGAGCCTCAGCCTAAGAGGGTAGAAGAGGTCGTCAGAGCCTTGAAAAATGGACTTGAGTAAGAACATTGAACCAACAATACCCTAGAACGTGTCTCCTTTCTAAAGTCCCGCGGGAGGTGGGGAGGTGGGGGCACACAGCAAAGTCTTAGGAGATCATTTTAAAATGTCTATTTCTGTAGTGATATTTCATTCTTGTACTGCAACCGAGGAAGCCTTAAATGAGTCCCAAACATGTGAAATATGTTGGGTTTCCATATCATATCCATGACATTGAAGGAGATCTGAACTAGTGATGTGTTTAACTCGGCCTTAGAGTCCACTTAATTAAACAATGGTGGACAGACTTCTCCATTTTAGTGATTGCTGAGGAAGAGTTCTGAAACCTTCCCAAGTTGTTGTATTATGTCATATTGTGTCGTATATATTATATATATATTTTATTATTATTATTATTATTATTATTATTATTATTATTATTTTCCCAGAATAAAATTTCCCTAGAGTGCAGGGTGCTGTATAGAGTCAGTGTTGTATTTAACTAGATAGAATTCTGGGAACCTGGACCCAGGACAGACTCCATAGGTGTTTTGCCCCTTCTCTCCCCATTGGTTGTTCTTTTTGGACTTTCAGCCTCACAGGGTTCTCCTCTTTAACCATCTGGAGAGTACCAGAAGCAACTGCTGGAGCTTTCCAAAAGTTGAGATTGGGAAACACACAGCCTCTCTCCCACCGACTTTGCCCTCTGCAGAGCAGGAACCAGATTCTTAATCCCCTTCAGGAGGACAGGGTCAGCACCGGCACCAGATGTCACTTGCCAGGCACAGAGTTCACAGTGGTGTTTCCTGTTGTTTTTTGCAGCGAGTATCTGGAGGTTCACCAGACGGAGTTGGACAAGTTGACAGCTCAGTTAAAAGATATGAGAAGGAACTCTCGCCTGGTAGGTGTCGTTCAAGCAGTAGGATGTTAACACAGTATTCCTTTTTATGGCTAAGTGTCCTTTTCTTTTTGTCCTGGATGGAAATGGGGAGATGGAGAAGGGTACGAGGACAAGGAAGAACCTTTAAGAAAAGCAGGTCATGGGGCGCCTGGGTGGCTCAGTTGCTTAAGTGTCCGACTCTTGGTCCCGGCTCAGATCACGATCTCAGTTTGTGGGTTTGAGCCCCACATTGAGCTCTGTGCTGACAGTGCAGAGCCTGCTTCGAATTCCTCTGCCTCCTTCTCTGCCCCTCTCTTGTTCTTTCTCTCCCTCAAAATATATAAATAAAACATTATAAAAAATAAAAATAGAAATATCCTTAAAAAAAAGAAAATCGGGGCGCCTGGGTGGTGCAGTCGGTTAAGCGTCCGACTTCAGCCAGGTCACGATCTCGCGGTCCGTGAGTTCGAGCCCTGCGTCGGGCTCTGGGCTGATGGCTCAGAGCCTGGAGCCTGTTTCCGATTCTGTGTCTCCCTCTCTCTCTGCCCCTCGCCTGTTCATGCTCTGTCTCTCTCCGTCCCAAAAATAAATAAACGTTGAAAAAATATATAAATAAATAAATAAATAAATAAATAAATAAATAAATAAATAAAAATAAAAAAAAGAAAATCAGATCCAAGAGGCAAAGTACTTACTATCCGCTTCCTGATGCATATTTGTGAAGGAGGTTATATTTCTTCTTAATGCTTTATTCTTGATACTTTTCAGTATTTTCCAAACATGTTTATGCAGGTAGACTTTATAATCAAGAAAAAATACTGGGGCACGTGGGTGGCTCAGCCGGTTAAGCACCTGACTTCAGCTCAGGTCATGATCTCACTGTTCGTGAGTTCGAGCCCCTCGGGGGACTCTGTGCTAACAGCTCAGCACCTGCTTGGGATTCTGTCTCCCTCTCTGTCTGCCCCTCGCCTGCTCATACTCTCTCTCCAAAATAAGTAAACATTTAAAAGATATTTTTAAAAAGAGAAAAAATGCTAAACAACAGCCACAACCCCCCTGCCCCTCCTCCCAGTAATCTAAGGAAATGCAAAATTGGGGTTGTCCTAGCATATTGTTAGTGCAGAGTTTGGAACCCAGAACCACTAAGAAAATAGTACGGTTCAGTGACGTCAACAAGGGTAAGGAAGGAGGCTCCAGTGGTGCCTGTTATGAGAAGCTGGAGGGGCCCCGATCCACTTTAGTTACACGTCCTCCTGCTCAAGATGTTTGTAGATGTCCTCTAGTCTGATGAATCTGTAAAGACTTGTCTGCTTGCAGAGAGGCCTCTAATCTATACACTATTTTATTTTATTTTTAATGTTTATTTATTTTTGAGAGAGAAAGAAAGAGACAGAGCGTGAGCGGGGGAGGGGCAGAGAGAGAGGGAGACACAGAATCCGAAGCGGGCTCCAGGCTCCGAGCTGTCAGCACACGGCCCGAAGCTGACCTCGAACTCACAAACCGTGAGATCGTGACCTGAGCCACAGTTGGATGCTTTAACCGACTGAGCCACCCAGGCACCCCTGTATACACTATTTTAAATGATTTTGTTCAGAGGCACCTGGGTGGCTCAGTGGGTTAAGATCTGACTTTTGGTTTTGGCTCAGGTCACGATCTTGGGTTCATGAGTTCGAGCCCCGCATCAGGCTCCACTCTGACAGTGCGGAGCCTGCTTGGGATTCTCTCTCTCTCCCTCTCTCTCTGCCCCTCCTCTGCTTGCGCTGTCTCTCTCTGTCTCTCTCTCTCAAAATAAATGAAATAAACTTTAAAAAACGATTTAGTTCCGTTCTAACTGATCTTACACCAGAATGTTTCGAGGCTTCGGAAAGCCCAGGAAAAGTCTCCATATACTAGAGGGTCCAGCTGTGCGTTAACAGCCGCTCTCTTCTTCTGTTTTCGGAGATTTGCGAAAAAGTGTAGTGGTGTCCTTTTTTGAAGGCTTAGAGGTTAAAAGCTTTGTTGAAGCTAAGGATTTTATACCCTGGTGATGTTAGAGTATGAACTGCCCCATCTCTGTGGGGAGTGGCTCCTCATGGAATGGGCTTCTATGCCCTTGGCCATCCCCAATGGCAACAAATGTGTCTCCTTGGAGAACAATGGTGAATGGATGGAGGGGCTTCTGCCAGGACCTAGTGTCCCATAAAACCCCTCCCGAAGGGGCTGTGGGAATGGTGTACTGATTATGCTGTGATATTATGAGCACGCAGGAAATGAACTTGCTTAAAAAAACATTTTGTGAAAAGCATATCACCGCCCTCCAGAACACTTCTTAAACACCAGTTTTATCTGTTTAAACAGGAAGTCAAGTACTCTTTTAACACATATATCACTGCCGCATTTTATGTTAACTTATTTATTTTTTTTTTAATTTTTTTTTATTCTTTTAATTTTTTTTATTTTTATTTTTTTTTTATTTTTAACGTTTTTTATTTATTTTTGAGACAGAGAGAGACAGAGCATGAACGGGGGAGGGGCAGAGAGAGAGGGAGACACAGAATCGGAAGCAGGCTCCAGGCTCTGAGCCATCAGGCCAGAGCCCGACGCGGGGCTCGAACTCACAGACCGCGAGATCGTGACCTGAGCTGAAGTCGGACACCCAACCGACTGAGCCACCCAGGCGCCCCTTCTTTATTTAAAAGTTAACATGGGGCACTTGGGTGGCTCAGTCGGTTAAGCATCCGACTTCAGCTCAGGTCATGGTCTCACCGTTCATGGGTTTGAGCCCCGGTCGGGCTCTGTGCTGACAGCTCAGAGCCTGGAGCCTGTTTCAAATTCTGTGTCTCCCTCTCTCTCACTCTCTCTCGCTCTCTCTTGCTCTCTCTGCCCCTCCCCTGCTCATGCTCTGTCTCTATCAAAAAAATAAACATTGGGGCGCCTGGGTGGCGCAGTCGGTTGAGCGTCCGACTTCAGCCAGGTCACGATCTCGCGGTCCGTGAGTTCGAGCCCCGCGTCAGGCTCTGGGCTGATGGCTCGGAGCCTGGAGCCTGTTTCCGATTCTGTGTCTCCCTCTCTCTCTGCCCCTCCCCCATTCATGCTCTGTCTCTCTCTGTCCCCAAAATAAATAAACGTTGAAAAAAAAATTTTTTTAAATAAAAAAAATAAATAAACATTAAAAAAATTAAAAGTTAACATGAATTTATGTGTTCCTCAATATGTAAGAGAGGAGAGCTAAAAGCAAGTGAAACCCTTAAAGCTCCCAGCATGTAGAGAGATTGGGGTGGAATTCTAGAGACACGGAGTATAAATAAATATTGGCTCTTAAAAGTACTCTTACCGCTATTTGAAATAACCCAGTAGAACTTGGCGGGTTTGATCATCATTTCACTGGTAATGCAGAAATGCAGACTAAACCCCTCTGTTCATATCAGTAACAGTTTTGAGGAGAATAAGTTTTAATCCCAACACTCTTTTTTTTTTTTTATTTTAGGGTGTCCTGTATGACCTAGACAAGGTAAGTTATCATTCTGTGCCGAGAGTTGCTGGAAAATAAGCACTGAATCTTTGAATAGAGGTCAGTGATGTCCTCTTAGGCATAACAAGACCTCAGAGAACTGAGGATTTTTCTAAGCCTAGGAAAAGTCATGCTTTTCTCTAATGAGGGGGTACCATCATGTAGCTCCAATGCCGTCTTTAAGGTCACTTCCATAAAAGTGCCACCTGGTTGGAGGGTTCTCGGTGTGCTGATGAGTTTCAGGACTTCCCAGGTATTTAAGCACCTTACCTGTGCCCCTTCTAAATATGGACTATACTGTTTCATCAAGCCAAAGACGTCCTTGATTGGAAAATACACTGGTATTTTATGTGCACCTAAGAGGGAAAAAAGTGATTCCAGTTAAATCCTGGCACCATTTTTTTTCTTTTCACTTAAAATTTGTATTGTATGCCTCAGGACAAAGCCCTTCGAGCTTTCTTTTCGTTGTAGGTTTTGTTTTTGTTTCTTTCAATATGCTGCTGTGCCCTTCCCATGCCTTTCTGTAGATGCAGAGAAAGTTTTAATGCTGAATCACGGTATGATGGGTTTTTTGAAGACATTTTAAAGGGTAGTTAAATTGAATGCGTGTAATAACAGTATTTATAACTCAAACGAAGGGATGACACATAGAACCACTGTGATTATCTGTGAGTGTGCACCGGCAGTAGGGATTGTAAAATGCACCCCCGTTTCAGAGACACTAAAAGGCCGGGGGGTGAGTTCATCTTAGAGGTGATAGAATGGAGGGATTGAGGTCTAGCCCAACATGATACCGTCCTGCCAGAGACCCAGTGAGTTCCATTTGATTGGCTTCCCTCGATGTTCCACACAACGATTCCAATAACCAGCTCAAGTTCATCTGTCGGAATATTTATTCCACGTTTCAGAAAATACTTCCCGAATCGTTCATAGAGAGTCTCTGAAATAGCCACGATTGGAAGAAAGGGGGGATGGTTCGCATTTTCTGGTACTTCTGAGTAGGAGAGCGGGGAGAAGATATTCCTGCCAGTCTAGATGGGTTAAACTGTAAATGGCTGCATTTTCTTTCAAACTTCTTCTTTTATTTCCAGCAAATTAAAACGATTGAAAGATACATGAGACGCCTGGAGTTTCACATCAGTAAGGTAATGGAAGTTCCTGTTGTCTTGCTTCTGTGTTTCCGTTCTCAGTCACTAATCACTACGCTTTGGGCCTAAGCGTGGCATCTAGTCCATGGACAATTTCTTACCTAATTGACTCCTAGCAGTTAAGTCTTCCAACAGGCAGTAAAAATGGAGACAAACAAGACTTAGGAGCCTGACAGTCCGGCGTAGTACCGACCCTACTCAGTTCAACAGACATTAAGTGCCTCCCGTGAGGCACCCACAGTGCCTCCTGCTGGGCTTTTAGTCTCCACGTAATCTTGGTAAAGACTGAACCAAACGGACCTAGGAGAACCTTCACGCTTGCGTAACTTGACCTCTGGACACGCTTACAACTCGGTACCCCGGAAACTTCTTCGTGAAGGCCGTATAAGTACTTATGGACGCTGCCATGTACCTCTCTAACCCTGTCGAGCACCCAGTTCCTTCTGCCCTTCCTCGCATGACCTCTTCATCTTCGTCGCCCGCATAGATGGGGGCCATTTTGCCAGGCTCCCTGACACCCGGCCCTGAACCCTACAGATAGTTCACTGATGGTCCAGCCAGCCTTGTGTGGGGTGGGACTTTGTCACCCCTTGTTCTGAACACTTAAGAGAGTTACCGGGACAGCCTGGAAATTTTTCCCTTTGGGAGCCGCTAAATCACACCAGTGGCTATTCCTGTCTGCATCCCCATGCAGCAGCCTCTCTTCCAAGTACGGAGACTGGACGCTTCAGCCGATCTCTGTGCTAGGAGTCAGAAGCCCTGGATTCCAGGCGTGTACTCTCTGGCCTCTATCACCTACGTGGACCTGAGTGTTCGACTCTGTGAAATGGGGCTGGGAGGTGCACGTGTTCGGTCTAAATGACCCTAAGAGTTCCTTCATTTTAAAATTCTGTGATGATTTATGCGCACGTAAGCACATGTATCTATAACTGCCTTTGTGTGTTCCCACTCTGACAAATCCCTTTTCCCTCCGCAAATCTGAAACCGCTCCAATTTCTGTTAATAAATAAAACAATGACATCCATCAGAAGGTATCCGTGTGGCCGGCAAGTGTTGGCAGATTGAAACCCAGCAAGAAGGCACAACCCTGCATTAGGTAGGAGTGAATTTATCCATCTTGTATCCATCGTTGTTAAACACAACAATCCCGGCGGCTGTTAAAGGTTGGTAGCGGTCTGTTTGCAACACCTATATACAGCATGCCTCACAAATTATAGTCAACCGAGTGAGTCAGTCCGTTTATTTGATGAGAGCCACTGCTGACTTAGAGTCGAGACAGATGCTTGCCTACAGACGGGCCCGTTTCCGCTCAGGTGAGTACTTGGTAACCCTTTATCCTAAAGGTGAACTTCATTTGGCTAGGATAGGTTGATATTGGAATGAAAACGAAGAATTAACTTATCTTTAAATGCAAAGTAGTAGACTACATCATCAGGGCTAAACCAGCACCCCGCCAGCAGCCTCCTTGTAGACGGGATTACAGACTCGGAGTTCTTGGCAAACCCGGCCACAGGGGGGAAAGGTTGAAGGCACAGGCTTCCAGGGGATTACCTGGGTACAACCGCCTGACCTGCGCTGGAAGAGGTATCGGCTCTTGCGCTTCTAAGAGTTTCGTGGGGACCTCCCGCGTCAGAAGGATCTGCAGCGTTTATTTAAAACTTCAGATGCCCAGCCCAGCCCTAACCTCCTGAATCAGCATCTCAGAGTGGGGCCTGGCCATCAGCATGGTAACGAGCTCACCAAGTAAGGCTGAGTTTAACTTTTAAGTATGGGAACCACCTTCTGTGCCGGCCACCAGCCCAACGATTTTATCGGCACATCACCACCCCTGAGTCTTGGGTCTCCCCCTTAATCAGGCACGAATCCATCGGCCCCAAAGATGAAAGGCTGCTTCCCGGAGTCTGGCAATTGCTCTCAGCAGAGCGCAGTGAACTGTTGAAGAGCGACAGAGAATCCTGTAACCAGAGAATAATTTGCAATCTCTTAACGTTCATCTTCTAAGCTGAGTGTGATGACGTCTAATGTAGAGACCGCAACTGGGGAAAACCACACCACCGGTGGGTCCTACTGATGCTTTTTAGCGAGCGCCCCAAAACTCGCCTTCAGAACCAAAGAGGAATCTTCAGCTCCAAAACCCATGACATTTACCTCGACCGTCTTCTGGCTCTGTAGCTTCTTGAGGCAGTGAAGTGCGTACAGAAAGGACAACAAGTAGCCCGAGGCAGGCTTCCTGGTCTCATGGATTTCCTTTGCTTCTGCTCACACCTGGTGCTAGTGTCCTTTTCATCTGCCTGCAAGCTGCTGTAGTTAGTTAACTGGGTAGCGTGTGGATAATGGAGGACGGTCCAAGCCTGTGCACCTACACGTGACCGGGAATAACGAGGTTCTCTCGGTGTAGGCACAGTTGACATTTGGAGATGGCCTGTGCTGTGGGGGCTGCCCTCTCCTGCTCAGGATGTTGAGTATCCGTGGCCTCTATACCTACCAGATAGCAGTAGCACCTCTCCCTGTGCCACGGGAAACAAAACGGCCCCAGCTTTTGCCAAAAGTCCCCTGGGTGTCAAAACAGCCTTGGGTTGATTGAACATCACTCCCTTAGAGGCACTAAGTGATTATCAGGCTTATAGAACGAGTATGGTTGATAGTCATTTGCAGAAGGTTTATTATCATCTAGAGGCATAGGCGTAGAGGTGTAGGAGGAAAATGCTCACGTCTATTGTGAGGCTCTTTATTAAAAATGATTTTTGTAAAATCTTGGCTCAATTTTTAAAAAATTTTTTTAACGTTCATTTATTTTGGAGAGACAGAGAGAGATAGAGCATGAGTGGGGGAGGGTCAGAGAGAGAGGGAGACGCAGAATCGGAAGCAGGCTCCAGGTTCTGAGCTGTCAGCACAGAGCGCGACGCGGGGCTCGAACCCACGGACCGCGAGATCACGACCTGAGCCGAAGTTGGACGCTTAAGCGACTGAGCCACCCAGGCACCCCTCAATTTCTTTTTTTTTAATTGATAAATTTACATGTGTGGATATCACCTTGTGACAGTCCTCTTAAAATAAAGTGATAATAGCCTCGTATCAACACTTCCAGCGTTTTTTTGCTTATGAAGAAGACTCCTGCCTTCGTTATCCAGTAGGCATCTCACGCAGCCACCGGTGTTCAGCTCATTTCCATTTTGTGCCACTTGAAAAGACAGCTCAGATTAAAATCTGCTTCAAAATGGAAAATGGATCCCAGTGGCTAAAACAAAAACGATTGGTCTCTGTCTGAAAGGATGACGCTTCTGCCAAGAGTCCCCTTGTTGAGGTCGGAAACGTAAATACCTCAAGCACGTAGCCACGGCCTATGTAACTTCTTCCAAGTGAGATGAAATGTTTACATCCCTTGTGTGTGCCCTCTTGTGATTCTGACAGGTGGACGAACTCTACGAAGCTTACTGTATCCAAAGACGCCTCCAAGACGGTGCCAGCAAAATGAAGCAAGCCTTCGCAGCCTCCCCGGCCAGCAGAGCTGCCCGGGAGAGTCTGTCCGAGATCAGTCGCAGCTACAGGGAGTACACGGAGGTACGCGCAGGTCTGCTTAGCAGCTTAAGTCCCCCCCAGGCCCCCCACCCCGGGATTGTCGGAATCGCTGGTCACCGCCAGCAACCAGGGGAGTGGCAGCCTCCGGCCCCATGCTAGTCTTCAGGGAGATGTTTTACTGTTGGCCTCTCTCCTGTTGGTTTGAGGCTGTCCGTGGAATTATTTAAGACGACTGCTGGGTAGTTTGGTCGGTAGTATTTTTGTTCAGAGTCTTCATTAGACCCCGCAGCCTTTATTGGCTTTTCTCAGTCCCCGAACATCGCCTGTCAGACACCCGTTTCCTAGTGCCTTGGAACATGCTCGCTCACAAGCTTGTAAAACCCTAAGACTAGATTCTACGAGGCCATTTGCTCTTGTGTGCTCGTGCTGCCTTGTACTCTTTGCACACGTAGGCTGCAAACGCTTGTCGGAAATTTCAGTGAGTGCGCGAGTCAGCCGCGATGCCCTGGTTTTTGACGTTTAAGTGCGCTTCCAAATTTTCTAGCGTGTGGTCGAATCTGGCTTTATTCCTGGAAGTCGAACAGACCCGGGGGGTAAGATGGCTTCCCTGGATGTTGGATATCGCTAAGCCTCCTGCCCAGGATTATTTTATTGTAAGGAAGGTCCCTTCTGTCTTAAAGGAGGCAAGATAAAGAACCCTGAGCAGAAGTGTGCTCTCTGGCTTCTGTCTCTGAGGCCCAAACATATGACGCAGGGAGATCTTCAGTCCTCCTGGGGTCACCTGATACCAAGTGTCTTTGATGAAAGCTGAATTATTAAAGCAGCTTGTCTCACTAGCCCGTGAGTCTGCTCACCGATCGAATTCCATGAATGAAGTCATCAGCCCCATGAGGGTCTGCTGGACAGTTCCCAGAGCGGAGCGTCTGTCACCGCCCTGCGGCGGGAGGGACCTCACGGGTCACTTTGTATGGTCATTCAAGCTGCGCCTCTGGTCAGAACCGTTAGTCCCTTTCCGTGGTCTGAAATGGGCTTCTTTACCTATGTTCCCCTTTCAGAACAACGCTTTTTAAATGCATGAAATAAAATACAAAGAATCCAGGAATTCAAAAGAAACCAATTATCCTGAAACAGATATTTCAATATTAGCCGTCCAGTTGTCAAAATACCTTAAAAAGCAAAATATTTTGATTATCATGCTATGCTTTAGTTCTGCCGCTTTATCAGCACATCAACGTTAAGTTATAAGATCTAGCAGTGCCTCTACTTGTTTGAAGTTATAAGATTTTAAAGCAGCAAAAAGTATAAATGATTTTTCAAGGTACCTAGAACAAATGATGTGACCAGGAACATGCCTGTGATTTCTGTCCGTGTCAGAGTCACAGGTACTGGTCATACTGCTGGGGCTTCCTTTCTACATTTGTGACACTTCAACATGGGAGAAGTTTCAATTAGAGGTTGGGAAACAGCAGAGGGTTTCTTTTCCTCGCCCAAGTTGGTGAACCCAGGGGTTGAGGATCTCTGGCTTAGAAGTAGCCCAGCCCTGGTTCATGAGACCACCTTTCTCCATATTCATGAAATCAAAAGAGCAGTTATAGAGGTCGTTCAGAGTCCACGAGCAGATAACGGACCGGCAGGAGCTTCCTGTCCTGGAACATTTGCTAGCCGTTTTGGAAACACCTGCCCTTGGTCAAGTGCCAAAACATGGCATCACAGTCTGCTCGCAAATTCAAAGATGTAGATTACAATTTCAGCCAGAGGGACTTCTGCCTTAGAGAAGAAAGTGTCGGATTTCTGCAGGGCCCTACCTCACTTGACATCAGGTGGGTTTGTGTCTTCCCAGAACTGCAAAGCCAGGATTTGATAGCAAAGAATGTTTAGGGCAAGAAGGCTCTGGATGCTTCCGCAGGTGCAGCCGCGTTCATCAGTCGCTGCACGGGCGAGATGGAAGCAAATCCTGTCCACAGAGGTCCTCAGCCGCTAAACTAGCTGGCCCCAAGGTTTTTTTGAAGACACTGGTGCCAATCCTGGCTTGCATGATAGCATCACTGGCCTTTTTGGAGAGTGTAACGGGTTCTTTCACAGAAACACACGATGCTCTAAGAAGAGAGGTTTATGATACCGAGGGTTTGCTTTCAAAGCTTTCGAGCAGCACAGAGCTCAGACTTCGGGAAGTTTCCCCCAGGTTTGCGAAGCTGTTTCAGGCACTAAGAGCTTACAAGGGGAAAGACAATGCCGTTCTTTGCGTCCCATTCAGGCACCAGTTCAGAAGAGTGATCTTTTGGGGCAGAAGAAAGGAACAAGTAGGAGAAGCAGTAGCCTTACAGATCGGTCCTGAAGTTCTCAGCAAACAAAATGTAAAGGGAGCCATCCCCGTCAGCACCCTGGGCTGGCCCCCCCCCCCGTTTTTATTAAGAAAAATTTCCAATCGACAGAACAGTCAAGACTAGCGTAATAAACACCATCTACCTTCACGGAGGTTGACCAGTTGGTAACAGTTTGCCCCATTTGCTTTCCTTCTCTCACACGGGCCCAATTTTTTCTCTTTCTTTTCTTTTTTTTTTTCTTGTTGAGTCATTTGACAGTCAGTAGTAGACATTATGACACTTTACAGTAAGTATTTCAGCGCCGATCCCATAATGGCAACCCGTGTAATCTGTGTATCCCTTGCACAAACACACAGCATTGTCACAGGTAAGAAAATGAATCCACTCAACAGAGCTATCAAAGAGCCTGTGCATTTCCAGACGTCCCCTATTTGGTCCAGTAGTAATGTCTTTTCTGTCTTAGTTTATTGTCCTTCAAATCAGGATGTAATGAAAGTCAACAGGTCGCATCTGGTTGTTATGTCTCTTTAGCCTCTTTTGTCGAGAACTTCTTCCCCCCACCCCCCAACATTGACCTTACTTACATAGAATCCGGGCCAGTTCTTCCAGCATGTCATGTTCTGGATTCGTCTGTCCATGGCACAATTTGATGACATAACTGATGCACCATCTGAAGGCAACACAGCAAGGCTTCTGTTGCAGTAGGTCCCGGAGTCAGCAACGTAACAGCCTTGATCTTCTCCATTTAGGAGAAGACTGCTTTCCTGCTTCTCTAGCATCCCAGTCCTCGTTGTCGCGCATGGAAATAATTGAACTTGTTCCAGGCTCTGAATTTCCTGTGCACCATTTTGTCAAGAAGGCTTCTCCGGCAGTGCTGGAGACTCCAGGAGTCTCCTGGAATTCAAGCACTAGTTACTTGTTTGCAGCCGAGAGAACGTCGTGCGCCTTGAGCTGCTGTGGGAGAGAAGCCTAGGTCTGATGCCACTCTTTTGTACTCTCCACAGAACATGTGTGCCATTGAAGCAGAGCTGGAGAATCTGCTGGGGGAATTCTCCATCAAGATGAAAGGTACTCGGGGCGCCTGGGGGGCTCAGTCAGTTACGCGTCTGACTCTTGATCTCAACTCAGGTCATGATCTCACGGTTCGTGGGTTCGAGTCCCGTGTCAGGCTCAGTGCCCATAGCAGAGATTGCTTGGGATTCCGCATCTCCCTCTCTCTCTGCCCCTCCCCTGGTCACGCTCTGTCTGTCTGTCTGTCTCTCTCTCAAAATAAATAAATAAACTAAAAAAAAAAAGATGAAAGGTATTTTTCCCCCACAGAGAGTCAGGAGCCATCTCCACAGACAGAGCTCACACTATTTTTATTTTTCTTGCAAAGGCACTGTGCCGCCACCTTTACCCCTCCCCATTTATGTTAACGTATTGATGTTCCAGAACCTTCTGGTCCTAAGACTTGCCTGCATCCTTGAATCTTTATTATGGCAGAATCTCAGACATACACAGAAGTAAAGAGAATTTACAGCGAGCCCCATATCACCTAGATTTAATAATTAGCAAGATTTTGCCACATTTGCTTCATTTGGTTTTTTCCTTTGATGATGTATAGCCCAGATATGAGTCTGCCTGTATATATTTCAATATGCATCCCTTAAAGAATAGGGACATCTTGGGGTGCCTTGGTGGCTCGGTCAGTTAAGCGTCCGACTTGAGCTCAAGTCATGATCTCATGGTCCGTGAGTTCAAGCCCCATGTTGGGCTCTGTGCTGACAGCTCAGAGCCTGGAGCCTGCTTCCGATTCTGTGTCTCCCTCTCTCTCTGCTCCTCCCCCACTCATGCTCTGTCTCTCTCTGTCTCTCAAAAATAAATAAAAATGTAAAAAAAAAAAAAAAAATTAAAAAAAAAGAATAGGGACATCTTCTTCCACAACCACAATGCCCAGTATCATCATGTCTAATGACACGAACATGCCTTTGTTATTAATCTGTTCCCTGATCCAAGTTTCCCAGTTGTCTCACAAATGCTTTGTATGGTTGGTATGTTGACATCGGGATCCACATGAGGTCCAGGCATCATAAGTGGTCATTCGGTGTCTCTCCTAGGCTTGCTATCACCTAACACAGACCCTTCCCATTTTCTTCCTACCGTCGACTTGGCATAGAAACCGTTGTATAGAGTATCCCACACCTAGATTTGTTTTCTGGCTTCTCTGCGGTGTCGCTTCAGTTACTCCTTTGCACTCACGTTTTCTGGAAACTACCCACCAGTTACTTCCTTTTATTCATCTCTAGTGTTAAACCCACAGAGGTCTCTGCGTTTTCCTCTTTTTCCCAGTGCGTCTGTGGTGTTTGCTCTGGCAAGTTCCAACCTAGAAGCATGATGGGGTTATATTTGTAGCGCGGCATCTTCAGAACAAACAAGGCGTGCTCGCTGTAGCAGACGGAGCATCTGCCGGGCCTCGCGGGCAGGGCTGTCAGATCAGCAACGGCAAATCCGTTGAGTTTTGAGTTTGCGCCCGTTGACTGCAGCGGCGAGGGCTGGGCGCAGGCGGTTCCGGTCCTCGGGTTTCATCGGCAGCCTGATCCCTGGCTTGTTGCTAATGGGAACTTAATCACCCTCTTGCCTACTTTTTGCAGTTAAGAGAGTAGAGAAGGGGTTCTTTTTCAAGTGTTCAACAGGAGACTTTCGTTTTGGAATCTGTCATTTAAGTCTGCGGGGCACTGTTTGTGTCCAACACCAGGCCCTCCGTGACAGCACGAGAGCCACTCTGCATGTTTATTGCTGGAGTAACAGTGACCTTGACCTTCAGTGTCTGCAATGGCTGCATTCTTCTCTTGGGCAGGCCTGAGAGTGAACTGGTTTGTGATTCGGTGTTGAATCTCAACACCAGCGGTACCACCGAGGTGGGGCATCCGTGCCCTTTCTGTTTTCCATTTCTTGTCTTCGTGTTGGGTCCTCACGAGAGTCAGAGGTTCCAAAACCACTCAGGCCCTGCCCCAGACCCAGCAAGTCGGGGGTGGGGGGGGGGGGGGGTTGGCAAGATTTTTTAAGACTCTCAGGACGGTTTCAGCAGCATCCTGATTCTGGAAGACAGTTGCCCTGAATCAGTGTTTAGCAGCAAGCACTTCCCTCTCCGTTCCCCCGACGCTCGGTCACCATCCGTGCAGACTAGTCTGTCTCTCGCTGAGAGAAACTCGGGCAGCACATCTTCCTGCTGTTCCTCCTGGGGGTCCCAGATCTCCCCTATTTCTGGTGCTCACGGCTCTCCAGGGCACCCATCATTGGTGAGGTGATAACTCCCCCCATTTTATTGGCAGGAAGTGAGCGTTCAGTGACTTGTCCTAGTACTCACTAAGTTGGAGTCAAACTTGACACTGAATTCCAGGCCTCTCCCAGTCCCACGCTCAGTCCCATATGAGGAGGACTGAAGTTTAAGAGAGCAAAGCAGACGCTATCAACTGTGGCTCAGAGCATGGCCTTTCACTTCCCTAATCTGACTCAGAAACTACAACTAGGAAGCCTTTCAAGGGTGACACCGGCACGGAAATCTTCCTTTCTTTTCATAAAGGGAAGCGTCCTCACACTGCCGAGAAGTCTTATGTCTTTACCATCAGCTACTTTCTTATCTGTTATTCCTTCTGGTAAAACATAACTACCCCAACAAACATATTGACATAAACTGAGGATATTTCATAATATTTTCAGACCTGGTAGCCCGACTTCCTCCTGCCACACCCTTCCACACTTCCCTTTGTGCCCCACCCAGCGTGAAGAAAACAACCATTTGGGGTGGGGGGGGAGGGGCAGTGGGGGTGTGGCTGGATTGATGACAAAAACAACTGATCAAACACTTAGGGAGCCCCTGCTCTTGGCCACGCCCTACACGGCCTCCCGATGCGTGGCCCCAGGTCTGAGTTCCACACATCCACTGGAGAAGACGGAGGTATGAGCCAGCGTGTTCTCATTCAGTGGAACGAATCACCTGCTGCTGGGCCAGTGGGGAGGCTGGATTATCTCAGAAGCCTGGGGGGGGGCGGCGCCGCCCCGAGAAGGGTGCCACTCACCTGTCTTGGGGGACGGAAGCAGGGAGGAAGGAGGAAGGCTCCCCAGTGTCACCTCTGAACACGAATGAGAGGGACTGCTCTGGGCACATGAACAGCAAGGCAACGGCGTTCACCAAAGAGGGAAAAGCATGTGGAAAATGGCAGGCGGGCCGGCAGGGCTGAGCCGCTTCCTGGAAGAAGGGTTACGGAGATGTGCGTTGGCACTGGATCTTAAAGCACCTTGAGTGTCAGGTTAAAGGGGGAGCGTCTTGTTAACCAGGACGGTGACGAAAAGACGTGGGCCCTTGGGGAACAGTAGCTCCCACAGCGATTGTTCCAGTGACCCTGCAGGCGGTGTGTGTCCCCACGCCTACACCTGCCCGTCTAGCTTGCAGGGCGGGTCAGGCCTCAGCAGAGGGGAGAACTCCCTGTGCGCTAGTAAATCTGCCTTATTTATACCTGGTCAATAAATCAGGAAGGCCTGGAGCAGAGCTCCTGGCTGGCCAGCTGCTTGGCTCTTCGCCTTGGAGTACAGAGTGTGACTTCCTTAGCTTCGTAACTACTCCACCAGGTGCTAAACTTTGTTCACAGTGTCATGAATACCCGGCCACCCTTTTCCCTGCGTGTATGCGGTCAGCATGTGTGATCTTTTTTTATCTCTGGAGCGGAAGGTCATCATAGAACTAGAAACCGTGGGGAGCACTGTTCTGGTAGATAAGTCTCTGAGCAGAGGAAGGAAGGGTGAGCGGCTGCCTAGTCTAGTGTCTGGGCCTTCCAAATGGGGTGCAGAAGACCGTTCAGTAGTAGGTTTTACAGTAAAACAGCCAAAGGTAGCCATAGAAATAAAAGTCCCAGGGGCGCCTGGGTGGCGCAGTCGGTTAAGCCTCCGACTTCAGCCAGGTCACGATCTCGCGGTCCGTGAGTTCGAGCCCCGCGTCGGGCTCTGGGCGGATGGCTCAGAGCCTGGAGCCTGTTTCCGATTCTGTGTCTCCCTCTC